CAAAAAAAAAAAGCCGCCCAACAGCAAGTGCTGGAGAGGATGTGGCATAAGAAGAACACTGTCACACTAGAGGGGGGAAGGCTACTGGAGAAGCCTCTGTGCAAAGAAGTCTGGATTTACGTCCAAAAGCCAGAAGTGGAAATACAGCACGACCCAGCAGGCTCACTCCTGTAGGCATCTCCAGGCACGAAGCCACCCACAAGCGCGGGTGCTCGACCGTGTTGACAGCTCAAGAAGAGGTGGCCGCGCCACGTGGTGGCACAGTAAACCCCGAAAAAGGATGAGCTGCATCATTCTCAACAACGGGAGGGGAATTTAAGAGGCTTCTGTGCAGCAGAGTCCGAATGACAAGAACAAACGCTGGACATTGACGTAGCGGGCGACGCAATAACATAGAAACGGGTTTGCACACTCGTGGGTCTAACCAACACCCTGAGGGCTCTGAGGTGAGCAGGGGCAGGGAGGGATGGGGTCAGGGGAACAAGGATGGGGCGGCGGGGGGATTTAAGGAAAATGAAAGCGCAACTCCATTCTCAGACACGCATGTGAACATACAGATAGGCACTCTCACGACGAGCGCATGCACAGAGACGCGGGCATGCGCACACACACGCAGGCTTCCTTCTCCCTCAGCCTCACGCCCCAGCTGCTCAGCGCCTGCCAGAGTCAACAGACAATCGTCCTCCTCCCGGTGATGCTGGCAGGGTCCCCCGAGGGTGCGGGCCCCCCCGGCCGCCCAAGCTCATGGGGCTGCCTCATTGGCAAAGTGGTGAGTGTGCAGCACTGAATTTTTCATTTTCACTCACGAAGCCATGAACAGTCACCAGCAGTGGTGGCCTATGGGCCGCTCCAGCCTGGGGCTGCCACATGTTTTCTATTAAGAACCAGATTGTAAATATTTTCATCTTCTCAGCCACAACTCTGGGACCCATCACAACTCTGGCTGAGTGGTTACAGTGCCAGAGGCAAGCCTGGCCCAGCCAAGAGCGCAGCGTGGCTGGGAGCCGACCAAGTTTCCTTTACAAGCACTGACCAGCCAGAGGCGTCTGGGGTCAGGGTCCGCTGAGGTTGGCTGGCTCCTGGACACACCGAATGCCCACCGAGGCCTCCTGGGAGGTGGCGGACGCTTGCCAAGGACTGCCCATTCTATAGGGGCGGCTCTGTACCCACTGGTTTCTGTGAGGGCTCACCTGACCCTTCTCTGAGAAAGAGGGAGCCTGCTTGATGCTCACAAGGTGTGAGAAAAATAGGTTGCCTTGAAAAGTAAAAACTCCCTCTTTATGGGGTGTTCCTGGGACAAAGGTGGGTTCAAAGAGACCAGGCAACAGGAACAGCTTCCCTCCCCCAGGCAGGCCACCCACGCAATACACCAGAAGGGACGGCATGTGCCAGTCTCTGTGGTGTGAGCAGAGGTCAGTTACCTCCAGAGGCCAGAGGCACGTCCATCTGGTGTCCAGCTCAGAGTCGGCCACAGCCCCTGGAGATGCTAGTTGCTTCCACTGGCTTTTCCAGTCCAGAAAGGCGCAGTCTGAAAATGGCACCAGCTGGAAGGGAAGAAGGGGACGTTCAAGTACGTTTAGACATTTAGCTCACTCTCGGCCTTCTGAAGAGGACTTGAGATCATTCGAATGTCTGCACCCCTCTCCCCACCCCCCACCTATACCTCAGCAACTGAGGTCTACTATGTGTGAATATCTACACAGTGGTATTCTTTTAGAACAGTGTTCTATTTTTTTTTTTAAGATGTATTTATTTATGCACACAGAACTGGGGTACAAGCCAGAGGGGCAGGGGCAGTGACAGGGTTCACCAGAGACAGAGCGGGGAGCAGCACAGGCCGACTGTTGAAGTACACTGCCGAAGGGAGCAGCGGGCAGGTCAGGAGAGGACTGCTAAGCCTTGCGGGTCACCTCCGGGGCCGGGGGTCGAAGTCACACTGAAACATCTGTGCTAGCTTGCAGAGCTACGTCCGAACCCATTGCACCACCAGGAAGGGCCCTCAGACAGTTGTTTTTATGGGAAGTTGCACAGCCAGCACAGAACTCCTTTATTCCACGGTCTTGTTTCCCTGGTGGGCAGTGTCTCACGTGAATAGAAAACGTTCATCAAAGTGAAGGAACTGATGCTGATTCATAACTGACTCACCCACCACCACACTGATTGGGGGGCTGGGACAGCTTCTCAGGCTTCCCTTGTTTTCTGAGACCTCAACAACTTTGAGGGGGTCTTCTGTGGAATGCCTTCCAATCTGGGTGTGTCATCCTTTTCCACTTCCCCAATGATCAGACCGGGAATATGTGTTTTTAAAAGCAGGCAAGACCCCCAACTCAGACTATTACCCATTCCTGTTTTATTTTAATGATTTTTCTGATGTAAAAATAGTCACTCCACCAAGTAACTGCTATGACAACATAATAAAAAGACATGACAAAAATGGTCTTCTTTAGGTGGAAAGCCTTCTACCTAGTACCTGCACTTCCTGCGCTGCCTCCCGTTACAGGCCAGGCACTACCCGCTGCCATCCGTCAACGCTTTTGCCCAGTTTATAAATAAACATCTGCTCTGCCTGTGCCCAGAATGAAGGGCCCGAGACCAAAATATGAGTCAGTCACAGTTTCCATGCTCAAGAAACAGACATGCAAGCAGCTCAGGACAATGTCCCGACACAGGACCTCCCAATATAGGACACCCCAAAACAGGATGTGATGCTTGGGAAAGCTGGGAAATGACAATGCCGTCTGAGCAAGACTGGGAGAGCTGATGATTACCAGCAGAATGCTATTGGCCAAAGGACAAGGTTTGGACAGAGCTTCTCCACCCATGGAGGAGGATGGAGACAGGTCAGAGGTGACAGGGTCTACCACTGTGAGCCCGGACAGGGGCAGGTTCTGGAAACCTCACCTGGAAATCATCACTCAGCCGGGGTCCCACCGTGTCCCAGACATGGAGAGAATGCAGACCGAACCTTTCTCATCGGAGGCGGTCGGGGAATCCCTGGAGACCACACTGATGCCTGGGGAGCTTATGTGGACGAAGGCACCCCCAGAGCAAAGGCAGTAAGTGGTGGGGTGCAGACCACAGCGGGACCCCCTGAGCTGGCGGCTGCCAAACCTCATCTTCACACTTACCCACTCTGTCCCTGCTGCCTGCCAGCCCACAGGCTTTGCTTCTCCCCCACAAGAGCAGTCCACTGCTCTGCCCTTTCCCTTTGAACTTGGCCGTGCAAATTGCTTTGGCGGGTTGATGAATGAGCAAACCCACAAGTGATGGCTTACACCCTACTTGCTGCTGGGATCACTCGCCACCACCTTAGCAAGCCTAGGTGTGCTCCCTGGACAAGGAAGCAACCAAGGAGGGCTGGGTCCCCCCAGACGGGCCCCGTCGAGTGGCCAGGACCAAAAAATAATGGCAGGCCAGGCACTGAGGGGCAGAAGCAGCAAAGGCAAAGGTTGTGGACGGCGCGAGGGTTCAGGGTGGCTCGCTATGCCCGGGAGGCTGACAGGCGGCCACGGGTCATCTCCCCGAGTCAGCAGTGGCGATACACATGTCCGCATGTGCTTGTGAGGTGAGCTGGGTGGGGGTGCAGGGGTGGGGGCAGCTCGCCAGGGCAGAGCCCCGGGAAAGGGGAGCGTGAGAGGTCCCAGAGCCATCACAGATGTGACAGCGACAGCACTCAGTGGCCGGCGGACCCCAGCTCCACCTGCAGGCACCGTCCGCTGAGGGCCACACACAGATTCTATCTGGAGCTGCTGATGGGCGAGGTGTTTACAAGGGAGAGGCACAGAGGAATCGGGGCTCGGGGTCACAGGCAAGCGAAGGGAACTCCCTGTGCTGGAAAGGAGAACCGTGGCGGGTGCCCGCTCACTGCGCCCCTCTTAGTCACCAGCTGGTGCCTCACCAGCTCTGGGGGTGGGGGGGGGACAGAGTTGTGAATTGCCACACAGACTGCGTCCCCACCGGCTCACACCAGCCCCCACCCTCACACTTGACAGTGCCCGTTGGACTTCAGTACCAAAGGCACCTCCCACGGACATCTTGGCTGTGCACCCAGATGAAGCTCAGCAATGCCACTGTCACCCCGACATTCCCTGCATGTCCAGAGAGCAGCCGCCACCAATTCCATGGGGCAAGAGTGTGCCTGCCCCCCACACCACCACCCTGTGCCCCAGCCTCCATCCCACACTTCAATCACAACGCCACACCCCAGCCACAATTCTGCACCTCAGCGACCACCTTGCACCCCAAACTCCACCCTGTGTCCCAATCACACCCCACACTCCAACCACCAGCCACAACCCAGCCCCTCAAAACACCCCCAAGCACCCTGACAACCACCCCACGCCCTGAAAATCACCAGGTACCCTGGCCACCCTGGCTATTTCCAGAATGAGGGAGTGGACAGAACAAGCAGGTGTCACTCTTCCAGGATGCTTTCTGGACACGCTCCCTTCCGTGCTCCAAGCGGGGTTAGGGAGCTCACTTTGGGGGGCCCAGGCCTCCTGTGCTTATCTCCATTTCTTATCTAGCCTGTCCTTCTTCCACTTAGCAAGCATTTCCTCCACCTCGGCCCTTGGACTCTGGTCTCACCAGGCCGAGCCCCTGAGGAGCAGAGGAGGGGTCCACTCTCCTTGTCCCCAGCTTCCCGGCCCTACTGGCCATCATGAGGGAACAGGAGGCCCTCGGTGATGACTGGCGATGAGTGAGTGAGGGAGGAAGCAGACAAAGTGCTGGGTATCAGTGTTGTATCTTACTAGATCCAGTAGGCACTTGAACAAGGAGGGAATTGGGGCACTGACCCCATGCAGTTGAAAATTCAGGTACAACTCCTCCCAGACTTTACTAACAGTGATTGGAAGCCAATTACATGTATTCTATTCTGTGTCCTTACAATAAACTAAGATACAGTAAGGAAACGTTATTAAGAAACCATAAGTGGCCCTCCCTGGTGGCGCAGCAGGTTAAAGCCCAGCACTAAGAAGCTAAAGCCACTTCAGCGCGAGTTCGATCCCGCCTGCCCCGGAGGGGACCCACAGGGCGCGGCAGACCTCTCCTGACCCGCCCGCGGCTCCCCTCAGCAGTGTATTTCAGTAGATCCGTCTTATCTGCTCCCCACTCTGTCTCTGGGGAAGCCTCTCACTGCCCCTGCACCTCTGGCCTGTACTCCAGTTCTGTCTGCATAAATAAATAAATCTTAAAAATTAAAAAAAAAAAAAAAGAAACCATAAGGAAGAGAAAATACACGCCAACATTGCACGGTGTTTAGACACCGTGAGTGTCTGTCTAAGAGGAGCAGCAGCTGAGGCCTGGCGGGATGAGGGACAACTCCGGTGAGGGCCTGAGTAGGCTGGGGCCTTCCCCTTGCTCTTCCTGCTCCAGCCGACTCATCTCCCCCAAGCCTGCTCACTTCTGTCCTCCGTGTGGCGAATGCCAGGGACGGCCCAGCTCCTGCAGAGGGGCAGCGGGTACCCCAGGAGAGCTGGAGGCTGGCCAGGCCAATGCCCCGGTGCAGAAGGTGAAGCCTTCCGGAGCCCAGAGCAGAGGCAGGCGACACTCCTGCCCCTGCTCTGGGTCGAAAATGACCACATGACTACTTCTTAAGCCTGAGCGCTGAACAGCATCGCGGCTCTCTGAAGGGGCAGGAGTCTTTCCTCAGCAGCCGGCGGTCAAGTCATCCCAGTGACTTGCTGCTCTGTGTCCTCCCGGGGAGGGGCAGGTCACACCAGGTGATTTTAGAGAAGCAGCCCATTTTGGGGTGGGAGAAATGTGTTCCACCCCCTGGAAGGCTGACCCCCGCCCTGCGCGACGCTCCTGGGGCGGGCACCCCTGAGGGCCCACACGCAGGACACCTGGACCCCGGGGAGGCGACGATGGAGCAGCGGCCAGTGTCTGCGCCCTCCCTCTGAACTCCTGCCAGAACATGATGACCGCGGACGATGACATCGAGAACGGCCGGATCCGTTTGCAAAGGGCACAGGTGAGCCAAGTAGGCCGATGCGAGGGCAGATCAAAAGCCGACGGAGGACGACCTAGAAAAGCCTGGCTGGGCTGTGACGGCAAGCAGGGTTGGGGCAGAAATGCTGGGGGGCCCGGGAGGGTGCTGCGGTGGGGGAGGAACTGGAGCAGCTCGGTGCCCCTGGGGGAGATGCTGCACCCCCTCCTCTCTGGGCCCACGGGCTTGGGACCCCAGCCCTGGGGGCGGAGTGAGGAGGAAGTGAAGTGGACAGAGCGAATGGACGGCAGAAAAGCTGGCCTGGCCGCTCCGGCCCGTCTCAAAGTGCTGGAGAGCAGGAGGGTTTCTGGGGTGAAGGCCGAGGTCTGGGCTTGGCCAGGGAGGGTCCACGGAGGGGCGGAGGCTGACAAGGAGGCAGCTCCTGGCAATTCCAGCAGACAAGGCCGCTCCGTCTCCACAGGCGTCCTGTTGAGTGCCCCACCCCCACTACACATGGGGAAACCGAGGCTCTGGACGTCGCCTGAGGTCACCCAGTGGAACAGGGAGGTGTGACCCAGAGCCAGCACCGCCCCGCCCCCGCTGGGCCTGGCTGGG